AATATGTATTTTAAGCTGTGTTATTGCAAAAGTCAAAAAGTTTTAAATTTTTTTAAAGTTTATAAAGTAAAAAATTACAGCAAGCTAAAGTTAATTTATTATTGAAGAAAAAAATTTTTGTAAATTTAGTGTAGCCTAAGTATAGAGTGTTTATAAAGGCTACAGTAGTGCACAGTAATGTCCTAGGCCTTCACATTCACTCATACTCACCAAGGGCAACTTCCAGTCCTACAAGCTCCATTCACGTTAAGTGCCCTATTCTGGTGTACAATATTTTATCTTTTGTACAGTATATTTTTCAGTATTTAGATATCTTTAGATACATACTGTGTCCAATTGCCTTCAGTATTCAGTACAGTGATATGTAATAAAGGTTTGAATCCCAGAAGCAATAAACTATACAAAATCACCTAAGGGCACATTTCTCACAATGTATCTCCTTTGTTAAGCGATGCATGACTACGTGCAAAGCTCTATTCTAGGTGTGGTGGTGAATTCCAGATTGAAAAGGATAAAGTGTTAACCCTCTGAGCTTGCAGTCCAATACAATACAATATATTGCATTATATATAATAATTCTTTTAATAGGCAAATTGTCCTAATTGTATTAGAAGTATGAACTACACTGCATAGAGAAAGAAAAGATTAATTGCAACTAGTGACTCAGAGAAGACTTCTTTAAAGACATGGGGTCTGAACAGACTCCACAAGATGCTATGAAGAGAGTTGCAATCCAGGCAAAGGGCAGGTTGTCCAAAAGTGCTGGAACAGACCTCACACGTGACTGGGCATCTAGACCTTGGCAAGCGTATGCCATGGAAGTTAAGACCTATGGCTGGGTGGGAGCCCATTGGGAAGACCCTGGGTTTTAGGCTACAGAGTTTGGGAGTAAAAGGATGATTTGCCCCCTTAGGTTATCATGATTATTTAAATCTTAAACCACCATGGCTGTGGCTTAAGACACATCAATCCGATTGCATATATATGATAAGGTATCCTTACCTCTCTTTCATTTGTTTTGTTTTTTTAATTTACCTAAATTTAAGACCTGAAAACTCAAGATCAGCCAAGCTGTGAGCCCCATAAGAACCCAGGGCTTCCAGGCAGAGGAGAAAAATGAATGCTTTTACTCTGAACTGAGACAAGATGGCAAGAAAAACGCCTAGAAGTCTGGCCCAAGTGGTATTTTCTCACCTACTCAAAGAGACCCCTCCAGCTCCTTCACAAAAGGGGATTCCTCAGCCTCTCGAAGTCTCAATCAGCCTGGGATGCACAGATCCCAAGGGCTAGGGGGAAAACCCTTAAAACTGGCACCACCTGCAGGAACAGCAGCACAGGAAGTTCTGGTCCTTCCAGCTGCTGGGATTTCCAGCTTGAACGCTTCCTGAAAACGCTTTCTTTACCGCTTCTCTTGCGAAATCTGCGGGCCCTCCCCTCGGCTCTCTGGCTTCTTATACCCAGAGAGCAGCGAGGCTCAGCACCGAGCAGGAGGCAGCAGCTCTGCTCCCCCGCCTGCGGCTGCAGCTGCTGCTGGATCCCAAACTCCTTCGGAAGCGCCTCTCCAGCAGGTGGGTCACGTCGCTGGCTATTGCCCCTACTTTTCGCCACATGGCCTGCGTCTCATACCTGCTCGGCCCACCTTGAGCCCCTGCGTCTAGGACGCCACTCCCCAGCCTGCTCGCACTGAGAAGCAGGTGCCCGAAAACTCCCCTACCGCGGGCCCTGGGATCTCTTCCCGGGAAAGTCAGCCAGGCTTGCTTCGGTTCAGCAAGCTTTCTAGCTTCCTGGAGTGTTACCGCTCATTACTTCCCCAGGATGCAGAGAAGCAGAAAAGCTCAGGGGGTCAGATTCCTCTCTGTATCTTACTTATGGATTGGAGCAATCTTGTAGGGCTCATCAGAAAGGAGCCTGGAAGAATGTGGCTTTAGCAACCTCCAGGCTCAGATCTGAGGCTGCTTCACGACCAAGAGCTGAAAATTTGTCCTAGTATCTGCAGCCACTCCCATTCTTGATCTTGACTTAAATTTCCTTATGCAGTTTAGAGATTGCTTTTCTAGAGAAATATTGTTTAGAATATAACCTATTGTGAAAAATAAATAAAGCCTTGATTCCCTATTTGTCCAGAGACAGGTAGTTTTTTTCCCTGGATGATAATCTGAGAACTTTCTTTAAAAGATGACTGGTGTAGTGGAAAGTGAGTTGGATGGAGAATGGGGTAGGGCATGGAGAATTCTATTCCTAGTTCTAACTAGAAGCTCAACATCTCAGCCTCAGTTTCCACAGATGTAAAATAAAGGGCTATTGGACCAGATGATCCACAAAGCCCAGCTCTAACAAGCTGAAAAGCCATGCCTAAAGATGTCTGCAGATTTGAAATATATTGAAAATCTCCCTAATACTACAACTGAGCAATTACTTTTTTCATAATAATGCAGGTTTCATTTTGATAAGGAAACTACCCAGCTATGGAGGGAGTCTCTTCCCACAGGATCTTAAAGTTCTACCACATTTATCATTCAGAAAATACTCTTGGCTTTCAAAACCATTCCTCAGCCTTGCTATGTGAGAATGTCCTATTCCCTATAAATGGCAGTCATATAAATGTCACTCACATGAAAGAACATTTTTTTTCTGATACAGTAGGTATAATTTTGTAAAATGGCACATTTATTTGAAGCAGTAACTTTTTTGAGATATGGCCTTTTGCAAGGCATGAGTTTTTCAGAATGCTGTGATTTAGCACGGTATGAGATTTTACCTGCATGTATTCTACCTGCATGGCAAACACTGCCAACCCAGAAAACAGTATGAAACACTCTCTATTTATCAAGTTTCAAGGTTGTAAAGTAAATGGTACATGTGTACAGAGAAATTGGGTCATAGCACTTTCTCCATTTGACAACATTTATGGTTCTGCTGAAGTTCGCATAGCAACTTGAAGTTCAGAAACCAGATATATAAGGCCTGACCCCTAACTCGAGAATAATTTCCAGACTTCTGCTTTGCTTAACCTTGCTGTTATTTAGAAGAAATGAAATAAATTTTATAAGCATGTTAATAAATTTAAAACCCTGGGCCTTTCACTGTGTTGTGAACAATTTTAAGAAAAATAGGTTCATTTATTATGGAATTTTAAATGTGAGGAAACCCTGAGTGGTCACTCTGCGTTACCCTATCTCTTGAAAGATTGTCCCTAAATCACCCTATTATTAATACCATTATTAAAAGGATGTAAATTCTCCTTTTAAAGTCTGGGTAGCTGATTCTGCAGTCACTCTCAGAAACATATTCCAGTGTTTTATAATCCTAATCATCTAGTTCTCTTCATAATTAATTTAGATGTTTTTATCAGATGCTTTTCAAAAATAATTTTCTTTGAAAATCTTAAGGCTGATAAGCTGCCAGCAAAACACACACACACCCCAACAACACCACAATAACCCTTCAAAGCTTAAAGACTTGCTAGGGCACTTTGTAGCTAGTTTTCTCTGGGTTGTCCCCTGAAGAGGAGGTCATTTGCTAAGTGCCTACAGCTGTATCTATCCATAAGTCCTACTATAAGAATCTAGAAGAGGCTATGGATAATGAATTTTTCCGGGTGAGTTTTTTGTTTGTTTTTAAGTTTAGGCTAGATAATAATAGAAATAAGATTTACAAAGACAAGGCCTCTGAAGTTACCTGTTTGACTCTGTTCTTTACACATCCAAAGAGAATGTTTTTTTAGTTAATTACGAAGGCTTCCTGAGCAGTTCCACATGATGTGTTAAACCTACTCCAGATATTTCTAATTACTTTTAGGTCATTTCCAAAATGACTTAAATTAGCACTTGTCCTTTTGTTGAGAAGAAATACATTCTGGAAGGAATCAAACTAAATAATGAAAGAATAAATAATACTTAAAACAATGCATGATATAACATACTTGGCCTATATACATAAATAATTTGTTCTTCTGAAGTCATTAATCAACATAATGAATCCTTGTGCTGTGTGAAGATCATCTTTCAGAGACGTATCACGGTAAAAAGAATGTACTGTTCTACTAAAAGAAGTATTTCCACTCTAATTAACTAGGCAGGACATTGACATCCTAATCTAAATTCTTTTCCACAGTGTTCTACAAGAGTTTATTCAGCCGTGTGTGGAGAGGTCTCACTGGATTGTACTTCTGTGCAAAGAGTAATTTTGAAAAGTTAGGAACCATAATAATTCTAAAGAAAAAGAAGGCTAAGAGGTAACTTAATATAACTATTAATCTATAGCACACCTCTTAAAGGGTTACTAGTAGAACACAAACTAGATAGTCTCTTTGGCCTCAGCACCCAATATTTAAGAAAAAAATTTTACATTAAGAACAGAGCCAGAGCTCAGAGAGCTGATGGCACCAGCACTGCGGAGCACGGGAATAGGAGGGCATAACTAATGGTCGATGCTGACGATGCATCTTTCATCTGTACCCACTCATTTTACAGGATATGAAAACAGTTTTGAGCCCAAGTTAAATCGTAGCTAAAACAATTTTGCATAGACTTTGGTGAACTGTCTTGTCCTGCTTCCCGTCAGATTAGCATCCCTCCTCTAGTCTCCCATCCTCTCTGCACATTGCTCTGCTCTGGCCCTCATATGGTGCGTCGTAGCACTTTGGTTACATGCTTCATCCTCCCTGAGACTGGAGCTCACAACTGAGGACAGGGACTGTCTAATTTCTCACTTTATCCCTCTTTTGTAACACGGTGCCTGACACAGAGAGGCTGTTCAATAAATCTCTGCTGGAAACATGAAATCTTATCATCGTTGATAACACTGATTTTTTATTTTGATCATATGGACATTGTAGACAATGAGTATGGATGCCAACTTCACTGTATTAGTTAACAGGGTCAACGTACATGGCAAACTCCCGCCACTTGGGCAGAAGCAGGAGATTGCTTTGTACAGTACATGTAAAGTAAACAGTTAAAATTATTATAATTTTTTTAAAAGTAGAAGAAACTGCTTGATATTTCTTCTCACTTTAATTTTAGTATCCCTATTATATTGCTATACCAGGTGGGTTTCATAATAAATTTGTAACTATAATACTTTGGATTCTAATTCATTTTAAAGAATAATTCATTTGAAAGAGTGATATAATGTGATTAAGGCACTTAACTGAGGTCACCAAGATTGGAATAGTGAATTTTTAAAGGTTATTTCATTTAAGTAAAACATTTTAGGCCTTCTTTAATACCTGAACGCATGGCATAAAATACAAAGCCTATTGAACAGTTCAAAAGAATGAAATTACATCACATCATTCTTATACCAAAAAAAAAAAAAAAATACAGTGCCTCTAGTTATTTCTTCTCTAATATCAAAGTACTAAAGTGATTACTTCATCCTATTCAATTCCCTGACATAGGTGGTATGGGATTAAGGAGAAAGCAATTAGGTTGGTAAATGGTTCATTGCAGTCAATAATGAAAATGTGCCATTTGCCTCTGGTTTTCCTAGATTGAGATCCTAAACTGTGCTTACCCTATTCTTGAGGCATGTCTGGAAAACTAGAAGATATATGTTTGGGGATGGTGGTATTCAAAGAGGTCCCTGTGTCTTTTTCGCTTAGGGAACCAAGAGTCTAAAGGTATTAGGTTTACAACCAAAATTGTATTGATACCATCCATGTGTGTGATGGTAAGGGCATGGAACCTTTGTTGGGGCAGGGCAGCCACATGGATTCTGTTTTTATAAAGAACCCAGGAGCTTTCTGAGAAGGGAGGCCTGGATTAGAAACTGGTATCATCCTGTCAGCCCAATTATATCTCCATTTTTGTAGTCACATTCCAGAGTCTTGCAGAGAAAGGGATAAGAGGTAGGGAAAGAACCCAGGATGTCCCAGTAAATGGCTAGCAAAAAAAAACTTAGTGATTTATAACATTTGGTGATTTCCATGGTGTGAAAACTCCCACCATGGCTAACTTCAAGCTCTCAGCTGGCAAACCGGCTCCAGCCACACCACTGAAAAGATCTGAGATTAAAACCCTAGGAATTTCAAAGGAGCTGTTTCATTTCAAAACAGTATCAACTAGTACTGCTCCCAAGCTTATATGTCAAAGCATAACAAAAGGATATGGGATGGATTTGAAGAGTGCTTTTCCTCCTGGGGTAAGAAATGGAACAGCTTTAAAGTCAGATATGCCTGGCTGCTCCATCTCATAAGGCTCTGCAAACCTCAGGGGCACTGGGGCCTTAGGGTGTGTCAGATTAGAAGTGAAGGAAAATGGTACCCAAAAGAAGACAAGGAGGGTATGTTCATTAGCATGTGTGGACCACCCTCAGGAGATACTTAAAAACAACAAGGAAATACTTTGGAACAGAATGAAGTTCCCCATCAGCCGGGTTTGCCCAGGTGGTGTCAAGATCCACAGCAAAATTGCTCTACGCCCAAACTGGTTTAGCAGTTATCAATATATAGATAATTCCTAGTGGCCTTCATGTGAAGATAAATGACTACTCGTAGGAAATTTTATTTGAACAAAGTTAATTCAAAATTGAAATTATTAAATCACTCTCTACATGTCTCTAACTA